GGCTTGGCCATTGTAGCACCTCCACACTGTTATCCTTTGCAGTATATTTAGGATCGTTGTCCTGTTGGAATGTCCAGTTGGGGTCGAGATGCAGATTTTCTGCAGACTGCCTGATGTTGTCTTCCAGAACTTGGATGTACTGCTCCTTCTTCATGATGCCTTCTACTTTTACAAGATTTCCAGGCCCACTTGCAGAGAAACAGCCCCAAAGCATGATGCTCCCACCGCCAAACTTCACGGTTGGCACAGTGTTCTTTGGGTTGAATGCCTCGCCTTTCTTGCGCCAAACGAAGGAAACATCTCCGTGGCCAAAGAGTTCCATCTTTGTCTCATCTGACCAAGGAACTGATGACCAGAAATGTTGATCCTTGTCTCGGTGCTCTCTGGCATATGCAAGTCGAGCTTTATGATGCTTCGGAGTCAGAAAAGGGGTCTTCCTTGGGCGACAGCCGTGTAGTCCTTCCTTGTGCAGTGTGGGGCATATGGTCTGCAGTGAAACCTTGGTGCCCATCTCACCCAAGTTGTCCTGAAGAGCCTTGACTCTTGTTCTGGGATTGAAAAAGGCCTCACGGCGTACTTTCCTGGCCGACGATGTTTCTCACTGTATTGAACTTCTTGTACTTTTGGACAATGGACTGTACAGTGGGTACTAGCACTCTCAAGAGTTTGGAAATGGCTTTATAGCCTTTCCCATCTTTGTGGGCATTCACAATGCTCATGCTGAGGTCGTTGCTGAGTTCCTTTGTTTTCGCCATGATCATAACAACTGAGGAAGATTTCATTATTGCACTTGATTTTATACTCTAGGACAATGGCATTCCAGAACTCACTTACCATCTTGGAAATTATGCAGACTGGCCTACACAACTTTACATGTGAACAAAACAACATGCAGAATGTCTGAAGCATGTGCATATCAGATGCATATGGCCAAATGCCATGCTTTAACAAAGGGTATGAATAATTTTGAGTGAGTCAAAATACAAATAAAGTTATTGCTTTTTTGTTATGCAAATGAGGTTGTACAAAACTCATTCAGAATTTTTACCTTTCAAGTAAAGGTATCCAACCACAGCCAAAATATTCAGTATCCACCTGTCATTTTCCAGAAAAACACAAAACATTGAAATTTCAGTAGGGGTATGAATAATTCTGTTTTTAACTGTATGTCTGAAATCAAATTTCAGGACAAAATGGCCAGATGTGTAATTAAAAGTGATGAGCAAGTAAATCAAAATAGCCGACAGTGAGTCATCTTTGACCAGATGACAAAATTATTGTTGTGTACTTATTACCATTATATCCATGTATAAATTGCTCGAGGCATGTCCAAGATGTATGTATGGAATCAAATTTGTCAAAAACAAAATGGCCACCAGTGGGCCAACTCAGCTCGTATTTGGAGCGGAAAGTGACTTCCATCAACTTCCAATAAACTTTCACTAAGTTTGAAGAAAATTAGAGAGCACAAACCACGAGTCCCCATTTTGGAACATGGGGCAGTTCACTGTACATGAAGAATGTGGATGTGGAAAAATGAGTGAGAGAACCTGCATTACAATTTTCCATGAATACTCTCAAACTAATGCATTTTGGACATAAAAAGCTAACATAACTTTTCTAGGTTCTTTCTAAAAAACAAAACAGCAGCATATTTGGCTACTTTAGGTAATTTTGCAATGAATTTTATCCAGTTACATTCAAAAATTTTGTGACTAAAAGTGGGAAAAAATAATCTTTGTATAATACACTGATTAAGTTCTACTAAAATTAAGGCATCTATAAACATAAAACCTGATAGCTAAGTAGATAGCAGTATTGCACTGACCAAACACAATGCCAACTGTATAGTAGTCAACAGCAAGGTTATCTTCTTAACCCTCTCTCAAAATACTTCTCTTTAATCTCTCTCATAATCATAGCAAAAAATTCTTTTCTTGGACCACCATAGTCACGAGCCTCCTAAAAACAAATTTTAAACTAATTACTAATGCATAAGTTTAATTGGACATTACTGTTTTCACAATCACTGATACCTAAGAAAATTAGCAGTAAATAAGTAAAATTATAACAATTGCTATGTAATGTAATGTTATAAATAAGCTGTAATACATAGTTTTAGGTATTCCTATTCATGGTTGACACATAATTAGATCACTTTATCAATGAAATAGTGAACAATTAAATTGTCTGTTAGAAGGTGAGGGAAGCACAGGGCTATGTTATGAAGGATGCTGGTTTACCCTGGGTTGGTGGACACATGGCACATACATTCAAATAGTGCAACACGGTTTGTTCAAGTGTCTCCTTGATGTCATTCCAATCAGACAATGAATAGATTCCAAGTAGCGTCTGCAATTATGTTTTATTAGCCTTAGAGAATTTGTCAAAGCACTGCTGACTTGCTGAATGCTGATGACATACTGCTCTGAACAATTCATGAAATTTATAAATCCCACAGGTGCAAGTCTAATCTGCAGAGGGGGCCAGGGGTTCAAACTATGGCTCACATGAAATAACATGTCTGGAGTTTCAAGATTGTTTAAATCTTACCTCATCATAAAAGTCCTCACTAGAGTTTTTCTTAAGTCGTTCAATTCAATAGCCTGTATCTCCAAAGGCAGTCTTCAATAGATTACTT